AATATTGGGATTGACCGTCACAATATAACGCCCTCACGGCTGAAAGGGTGAGCATGTTTGGTGGGATGGGGAATCGAACCCGCCACCCTCAGATTGGTAGTCGAGTGCCCTAACCACCTGGCCACTAATCAAGAATACCTATCAATAACATTGAAAGATAGTCATTATGTTCAAAGGTAATACGTAAAAACAAACAGTGAAGAAAATGTACCATTTATATTAAGTTGGATTACAAGATGAAGTTGTGACACAATTACATCCACAAAATATAAATGAAATGTATTTTGGATCTCAAAAAATGAAGCAATGACATACATACAGTAAAAAGAAAACTGAAATTATGATATGTTGATTTCTACTTACAAAATCAGTTAAGAGATGATAAATCAAAATGATTCCAACACAGTATGTTAATAAGTAAGAGAGAACCAGCAAGCTTACACAAACTCTATGGCACAGTCAATTTCAACTGTTTCAGTCTGTATACTGCATGACGAAATCAAAACTGTCTTGATACCATCATGTAAAATATTTACATTACACAATTTATTGACATAGAGAAACAAACTATTACTGTCAAAATAAGAAACAACACACATTCTGCAAAAATAAGTTACTTATTATAATTCTGTGAATACCATCAGTTAAACACAAATGTTACAAAGAAGTTGTCCTCATAATAGTATGTCACCTTTATCATGTTTACAATCACTAACACAGCAAAATTATTTTTTTACTGCATTTTCTCATTCACTTGTAAAATATATTACCAGTTGGTCAAATAGTCTTTTAATAAGACTGAAATAATAAAGGCTTGCTTGGCATAATCAGAATGACAATTAAACTGAAGCATATATTGGTGTACTGACAGGCTTGTTCATTCAGTCACGTAGTGGTGGATCCCACATAACCCTCAGTTAATACAGAATAACACATATGTATTTAATAAACTGGTGTACTCACAGGTTTGCTCATTCAGTCACGTGGTGGTGGATCTCACATAACCCTCAGTTAATGCAGGATAACACATATGTATTTAATCAACTGGAGTACTCACAGGCTTGCTCATTTAGTCACATGGTGGTGGATCTCACGTAACCCTCAGTTAATAGAGGATAACACATATGTATTTAATCAACTGGAGTACTCACAGGCTTGCTCATTCGGTCACGTGGTGGTGGATCTCACATAACTCTCAGTTAATACAGGATAACACATATATATTTAATAAACTGGAGAACTTACAAGCTTGCTCATTCAGTCACGTGGTAGTGGATCTCACATAACCCTCAGTTAATAGAGGATAACACATATGTATTTAATCAACTGGAGTACTTACAGGCTTGCTCATTTAGTCACATGGTGGTGGATCTCACATAGTGGATCTCAGTTAATACAGGATAACACATATGTATTTAATCAACTGGAGTACTCACAGGCTTGCTCATTCAGTCACGTGGTGGTGGATCTCACGTAACCCTCAGTTAATACAGGATAACACATATGTATTTAATAAACTGGTGTATTTACAAGCTTGCTCATTCAGTCACATGGTGGTGGATCTCACATAATGCTCAGTTAATACAAGATAACACATATGTATTTAATCAGCTGGAGTACTCACAGGCTTGCTCATTCAGTCACATGGTGGATCTCATATAACTCTCAATTAATACAGGATAACACACATATATATTTAACAAACTGGAGTACTTACAAGCTTGCTCATTCAGTCACATGGTGGATCTCACATAACCCTCAGTTAATACAGTATAACACATATGTATTTAATCAACCGGAGTACTGACAGGTTTGCTTGTTTTTGAAAAAGTATATAAAACAAAAATCCTACTTACCTACTTTACTTTTTCCTGGCAGAGTTACCATAAACATAAAATTGATAATTTTGGCCTACTGTACAATGACAAATAAACAATTAACAGAAATAAAGAACTGAAGATGCTAAATTGGCATTTTGATCATTCAAAATATTGTTGGCTTACTTCACAACAGAATACTGGTGTGTATAAAACAAAAACTAATTTCACACCCATGATAATCTTATTCTCCAATATAAGTGGCACATGCTGTTAAGTTTACTGTCCCTTTGTACCGTAAAGAGCACCTACAATATCCATGTGCTCCATAATCTAAAGATAATAATGTATACCCTGTTCACCACCACGACTGATTGGCTCTATACAGTGGAGTTCATATAAAATCTTAAATTTGATCCCAATAACTAAGTATATGTAACTTATGTTAACAACCTGTACCTATGATTAAATCAATAGCCCACCATTTGAGCTCCTATGGTCATACAACAGACAACAATATCTGACAGGTAACAAGATATAACAAAGTCTAAAATGTAATCTCAAAAAAATCAGAGGGTATCTAAATAAAACCAAAACAATATTACAGAGAGACAACCCAAAACAAAATGAAAATCAAATTCCCACTTTAAACAATATCAGAGAATCGAAATAACAGCATAAAACAAAATCTAGAATCAACCCTCAAATAATATTAGAAAATTTAAAACAGAAAAAATCCAAATTTTCAGTTCAAACAATATCAAAATGTAAACAGCCTAAAAAATATCAGATATGTACCAACATAAGATAAATGAATAAATACAAAGGTGTTCATTTATATCTATTTTAATCATTCTCTTCTCTCTTTTATACAGAATGAATTTCAATACTCAAACTCAGACATACAAGGTTTTTTATATATTCATATATTTGCCAGTTCATTGATAAGTTACTTTATTAAGTTTGCAATTGCTTAGTCACATGATTGTAGATTAGTGTTGTTATTGATTCTCGCATGATTCCTTTTTTTAATTAGTTTCTGTTAATCTCAGTTCTTGTATCTCACCTGATGATGACAGGTAAACCTGGTGAAACATTGTGAATAAAGTAAACAACTGATAAAAAACATACAAAAACAGTTAAATTTAAAATATCACAGATTATCCAGTTTTACCCTAAAAATATCAAACAGAATGTAAATACCAACCTAAAACAAAGTTCTAGAAATGAAAATTTTAATTCTGAATATGGTGAAAGAAAAAATCTTCATATCCAATATATCTGACCAGATTTTGTTACTCAAACTACTACAGTATGTTCATTTATACTTGACATTTCAATTCTACTTTAAATACAATTCAGAGAATTACCTTATTTTAAATCATGTTTCCAGTTTCCAACTAAAAGCAGACAAGAGACTGTGAAACTTATTTGTTGCTATAATAATAACAATTAGTATAATATTTTCCATTTCATCATAAATTTACTCACTTCCTAGAGATCTTACGTTCATCAGTAACCAGTGCACGTACAAGAGATGACTGGTTACCTGGAATAACAAACAGAAGAGTTAAATAGATAAATGGTATCCTAATACAATTCCATAACATGCATTGTGCAACAAGGGAAAACTTCTATCTATAAAATATTTGTACTACCTATCCACAATCAAACCAATTTCAAAAACTGTTTTAGTGTTTGAGTTGTTACAGGAAAATATTAACCCTTGTTTGAACTGGCTATTCAAAATCAAACCAATTTCAAAAACTGTATTAGTGTTTGAGTTGTTACAGGAAAATATTTGTTTCTTATCTATTAACCTTCGTTTGAACTGGCTATTCAAAATCTGCCTATAAAATTGACTATGCAATCTGGCAGTCTCAAGGAGAGGGTTGTTTAAAAATATCTTTGTCTTGTAAAAAAAAAAGTGATTGAGTGGTTACTAAAATACTTTTTAATTTCTCAAAAAGTTTAACCTAGATGTGACTGGAAAATATATCTAATGAAAAATATTTCTACTCATTAAAAGAGCCTCAGTAAAATAAATCTGAGACGAACATTTATTTTAAGTACATTTGCTTGAGTTTGTGGCACAGTAATGTTTGTATCATCCATTCAGTGACTGAAGCTAACAAAAACAAGTATATGTCATATATCATCCATCAATATTCAACGTCTTTTGTTGTGTGATTAAGAAAACAATGTAGTATCTTTGCAACATCAGAATTTGTGGACCTATTATGTGGAAAAACAGGTGTAACAATTTATTGCAGGTGGAACCAGAAAACTCATTTCTGAAGATGAAAAAAAAGGCAAATACTTTATTAACTGAAGACAGGTGAATGGCTTGTCATAGTAGTGTAGAACTATAGCATTTGTGGTAAGGACTGAATTAAAGAGTAACTAATTACATTAAAGTAGACAGCAAACGAAAGAAAACTATATTCAAATAAAAATAAAAAATTTACGTTACAAAGAAACCATATTTAAAGGTAAAGTAATGTTTATACACACAAGACAATTGGAAAAGTTTTTCCAGGCTGAAACGAGACAAAACAGCAACAATGAGTTTTGACCAAAATTGCTAAAAATGTCAAAACTGCTTTTCTATTTCACATTCTCTCTGTAGCTGACCAATCAGAAAAATGTATCACAAGTATCCAGAAGTATTTTTGTTCTGTGTGAAAGCTTTAGATTATCTCACATACATAAGGTACAGTAGAACACAACACAATTATCCCATAAAACAGTACTTAGTTTTCACAACTGGATCCTGGTGTAGAAAGTAACACCAAGGGTGAATTGGCACAGTTCAACTGAGTTTGGTATATTCCAAATCAGAACTTTAGGAAAAATTAAAAGATTTTTAAATATCAAATATACATAATTAAGAAAAACATTAAAAGAAAGTAAAAGCTTGCATGGTTATCATGCGAGACTGAATTTAAAAAAAACACAATTGATGGAATCATCACTTTAATTCTGAGCTAAATAGATGAGAACAAAACCAATGTTAACTTTAACATAATAATAATAAAACTCTTTAAATTATCCTTAAATGTGTGCTTACAAAATTTGAGCTCATGTATATATATAAATATAAAAAAAGAGACTATAAATCACAAAAAACATCAAATGAACTGAATCAAACATATAAAAATAAGATAGGAATATTACAAAATGATTCACTTCACAAACACAATTGTAAATGACCCTTAAGATGAAAAATACATTACAAAACAATTAATTTGTATGATTAAAAACTCTTAATATAAAAATAAAAAAAGAAATATATGAAAACTAAATAAACATGCAAATACACAGAAATAAAAAAGAAACCTGTACATGAAGAAAACAAAGAAATTGGACTGAATACTCAAAATGTACATTTTTACACAATGATGAACTCCAGTCTGACTCATGGCAGAGAAAAAAATCATCCAAAAAAGCAGTGGAGTACCATCTTTCAGCTACCATCCAATGGATGATGTTTTTCATTCAGGCCAAGTCATTTTTATTTTTACCTAACTTGTCCAAAGCCTCATGGATGTCCTTTTCTTCTTCTTCTTTTCACTATTCTCACAAGATGAATATCCTTTATCCATTTAGTGGTATAATTCTGGCAGTGATCACATCATTGTATTATCATTCTAAGGTCTGTATTGTTTGTTTGTTTGTTTTGGAATTTCGCGCAAAGCTACACGAGGGCTATCTGCGCTAGCCGT